GATTTGTTACAAAAGGCTACGGAATATTATGCGAAATGGAACTTTCCAAACTTCGTAGGATCTATTGATGGAAAACATGTTAGAACCAAGAGCCCCCGTTTCTTGTTGTTCTCTACTATTCTCCCAGCTATCGTCGATGCAAACTACCAAACTACAGATTTATGCACATCGATGTTGGCTCATATGGTAAAGAGGGAGACAGCGTTATTTTGTCGCATGTTTTTGTTAGGGACGATGCATTCAGATTATATCCGAACATGACGAAACCGCACCAAAGAGAAGATGCTACTGGTAACCATATAAAAGCTGTGTTTAATTACAGAATATGTCGTGTCAGGCGATTTTTGGAAAATGCATTTGGGATACATTCCCAAGTTTTTCGTATTTTTCACACCCCAGTATGCTTCAATCCTAAAACAGTAGGTGAAGTCATCATTGTATCTTGATATGGTGAAGAAAGGGTATTTGGCACGTAATGGACTTTCTAACTACGACATGGATCAAACTCAGGTCCTACCGGCAAACAATCTTATCTCTTTGAATAGGACCGGTGGTTACGCTAAAAGGCAAGGGTTTACAATAAGGAACACATACGCATTACATTTTGCTAAGGAAGATAAAGTAATTGGCAGGATTCTACTGTCTATAACGAGCGACGCTACCGGCAGTCAAAGCGGCGCCGTAACAGACCACACAAGCGGTACACCGCGATCATCTCTCAGCGACGATCACTCAGTGATGATCGCAACAGACGCTCCAGTAAAAACAGACCTTTAAGGATACTAGAGATCAGAAGATGACAACACGTTGCCTGAAACCGAACAGAATGGCGACCAATCTTAGAACAGACCAGGATCCAAGGAGGATTGTCGAGCCAAAGATGATGATTTACATGGATTTACATTACTCGAAACGACAACGCATTTTACACTGCAATATTGACATTCTAAAGCTGAAAACTACTAATGAAATTTGGTTTCTCCTTCCATTAGTTCTCTATAAAAAATCATTTGATATTCTTGTCCTGTTTTTCGTTTCTTAATATATTTATAGTGGTTTCCCTTTATTTAAACTCGTTTGTTTTTTATTCATCAAATAATAATGCTATCGTAGCCAATTTATAATTAAAAAACTTCACCAAATTCATATTCACAAAGAAAAAAATTGTTTATTTTAAAGCCACCTTACCGAACGTAATCTGATCGTTGTTGTGTTTCTGATTTACAGGGAATTTCTAATAAGTTTTCAATTATTTACATTTACTGATCATTTCTTTCAACTGTTTAAAATAAGCATCAATTACTGTACAAACAAGCTTCATAGTCATTTTGCAAATTCAACATATTTAAAAAGTGTTTAATGCTATTACTGACCTTACGGTTTTATCGTTTGTTATAGTTCTCCAACATTTGCTGAGTGTAACGTTGTCTTCAAGGTGTGGGCTCCCTTGCAAGGGAGAGAGTTGGCAAGAGCAGACGTCAATCTGCGAAAGCAGTTTGTGCTGATCAAGGAGAGATTGGAAGACGAGTGGTTTGCTAAGAAGCAGTAGTCAGTCAGTGTGATTGTGGTTGTGGTGAGGAAGTCAGCCATGATGCACTGTGGCAAAGCTTCACGTAATATCAGCTATACATTTGGGAACGGCTCTTTCGATTGAACATTTTTGGATTGCAGATTGTTAGAACCTGCTATATCCTAATGGAGTCACTTCTAGGGTGTTAAAATACTCATCAAGATGCTCGTTGAGAAGTTTGGCCAAGAAGAAGGTAATTTTCTTTGCGGGGTGCCTGGTGAGTATGTGTCCTAGGCGGTGTTTTAAGGACCTCCTTTGTTCCGATGTTGAAGTTTAAGATGGTTCGTAAGACGTATCTTTTGTCGAGAGTTCGGATTCTACTCTCTATGGTAGGTATATTTGCAAGTTGATGGATTAATGCCGACGGATAGTCAGTACGCTTCCTCGTGATCTTTTTCAAGATCTTGCGTTATGTGGTCATGATGGAGTTTATTTGACGATTGTTCAGTGAGGAGTAAAGAACAGCCCTATATTCAATATTCAAAACCTAATGTAGGTTTTGTGGGTGTGCACGAGAGTCTTACTCTGTGTACCCCAAAATTTGTCTGACAGGGCTCATAGGAGTCTAGCCCTTCTTCTCACTCTGTTTAGGGTGAGATTTAGTTCCGTATCCAAATTGAGGTTACTGAAATTGAACAACTAAGTCGGTGACCGGACTTTGGAAGGGGAGTCTAGCTCGATAGAGCTCTATCAGGTTGCCCTAGTCCTCAAACCGACAAGTTCCCGGGTACCTGAAGATGATGCCTTGTGTGTTGGTTAGGTTGAGAGTGACTCTCCATTTGTTGCACCATTTGACGATCTTTTCGAGTTGGACCTGTGACCTGTTTAACACAGAGAGGTTCCTCATCGTACCGGCGACTGTGCCCGATAGCAGTGAATATTTGCTGGCGGATACTCTAACTTAAATCAACCTGCCTCAAATAAACACATCAGGTAGTGACAGATTAGAGATCAGGTGGGTGAAAAGCGCACTCGAAGTCTGTTCCACGAAAAATTATTCCCCTTTCAAAATGTTCGTGAAGTAAAGCAAAGGAGCAGTACGGCTGTATAGTTCGTTAGGTAGCCCTATTCAAGTCCCATGGCACAATTTTCGTGCTCACAAATCTCACAAAAGGTGTAATATTTTTCTCGTTATAAAGCCCTTGATTAAGATTAACTTGTTTTTATATTCATAGATAGCACACCAAATGACATACTGTTCACTGCGAAGTAGTTTTTCTACAAGCACATCTGAAAGTTTTAATTCAAGGAACCAAGTTGTTCGTCAATTGATATAATCTTTAAGGTGAATGGTGAATGTGACTTTCATCCGAAAACCATACATTAAGCTTAACACTCGTCCAAACAACAACTACAACATTTAGTCATTGTCCAGTTTGGTTGTGATAAGGATAATCATAAGAGATTTGAAGATGAGATTTGGGGATGTTTAACTAATATTCAGTGTTGACACAGTTTGTCATAGGGTTCTTTTAGAACATTAGAACGTTTGGTTAAATCGCGTTATGGATTATTGTTGGTAAACATTCTTCTTCCAAGGCCACTAAACGCCAAGCTGTACTAAAAACTTTGAATTATAAAACTCATGAGTCCTAGCAATGCTAATATGGCAGCTATTAATAAATAAGCCCAACAAGAAAAATAAATGCTTAGCCTATAATTTCATAGCCATTTTAATTAATATATTTACTTATTGTGGAGTACTTTACTCATAAACTACTTTCTTATAGAGGATCTGAAACTGTTTTTCTTTTAAAGAGATATAAAACTGAAACTTTGTTTTAATTAATTTAACCCCATATAAATACAATATTTACTTTCTTACAGCTATATTTTGCACCATATTCGCCAGAAACAATTAATTAAAAAATAAAAATAGCGCCCGAAGTTGGGACAATTCACGCCAGAAAATAATAATTGACATTCGCCGCAAAGAAACCAAAATAAATACAAACACTTCTAAGACGCTGATGAATGGACGTGACATTTTAAGAAAAAGATTTTAACAAGGGACCACACAATGTTCAAATGTTTCGAAAAAATTAGATTCCATTTTACCCTCCTTAAGCGGAGACATCCCCTTGGGCGTTTAGGGTGTCTCTTACCGAGTGACAACGTAATTGCCTTTGTTTGAATTTAGGTTTTAATCTTAAATCCAATTATGGGCATAAAAGCAGCAAGGGTCATATTCAGAAGCCCCGCATGTAGGGCTATTTTAGAATTGAGTTTGTATATGCACAGAAAGCTGTTATAAATTAAAGAAGGGTAGAGAAAATTGCAGGTGATTTTATTAAAAAAAAAAGGGAACTAATAGTACAAGACCATAACGTAGTTAAACTCACATTTTTCTACTACATTTAAAATTAGGAAAATTTCCAATAAAAAAGTCAAAATACTTTATCCTTGATAACTTGCGTTTTTAATCGCTGGCAACCCTAATTTGCGACCGTTTTTTCTTAGGCAACCTTATATTATCATATTAAGGTAAAAGTAGCTTTAATTTTTATATAAAAATATGCATATACGTCATGAGCAGAGTATTTTATTTAAAAAATAAATGAACGAAATAAAAATTTTTATCAAAAATTAATTACTACTAATAATTGATAGTAATACTTTGTTTTATACCCCTGCTGGATATAACTGCGAACTGGGCAGTTGATGTTTAAATTTGATAAAATCGTATGCTGTTTAAGTAGATCCATGTATGTTCTAAGATCGATGATTCTGGCATCGATTGCATCTTTTCTTTCTCAATGTTTCCGAGTATTTTCTCTATCTGAAGGATGGAAAGGAATGTCCAGGTTTTAGCATATTTGTTGAAACTATAAAATTTTTTTTAGAAGGATTATCAACAACAAAATTTACGGTCATCTTTACAAATAGCTTAAAATCAACACGAGCCACCCTGAAAACATGAGACGACAAAGCGAATGAGAAACCGGCCGCCCAGTCCGCTTGGCTATCTGACCGACTAATTGTTGTTTTGTTTATTTAATATTCAGCTATATTGTCTAACTTACGATTTCTGGCTTTTTAATAAAAATCTTTGCCTATATCGGCACCTTTTTCTTTAATGTTTGGTTGTCTATAAATCCGAGCTCTGGTAAATAAGTAGGATTAAAAAATTACAATACGCCTAGAATGTTAAGATTTATCTGTTGTATATTCAATTTGAGCTCTGTATATCTACTATATCCTAGTGCCTTGGCTTTCACTTGTCTTATTTAAAATAGAGCATCGTTAAATGACGTTCCGACTCATATTCTGCCAATATAATTACTGTCCCTTTTCCATTCAATTACAGTCTTTGCATTTTTTCATAGCAATAAGATAAAAAATGAATTATAAAAAGAAACAAACTTTATTTTAAAAACAACTGGTTCGTAATAATGTACTAATAATATACGTACAAGAAAGAGTGGCTTACCATAATTGCTATATAGTGCCTATAATCATAAGGAAGTGGTCCATCACCCCTTAGGATGAAATTTTGAGTCTTTAGAAAGTGGTCCAAGTAGGTTTTATGATACCCCATTACTTGACTAACGTGGTCCAAGCGGTTGTTTTGTAAGAAGGCATCCACGAAAAGCGTGTGGGTCTGAAACAAAAAAATTTATAAATATAAAAATTATCAGACCATAATTATTTTATAAAATTTATTTCGACATTCTTACGATAATTACTCTCGAGAATTACTATATACAGAATATACTAATTAAATGTTTCCTTGCCATTTGAAAATTTTCATACAAAAGAGTAAGGTTTACCAAGTAGTGGTATTATATTATTTAGTCTTTGACTCTAGGTCCTAACATATTATTCTTTTCCTAATATATTATTTCGTTTCGACTAATATAACATGAGCAGTACTTTGGAGGGAAGCGAGTGGGTCCCTGTGACAGAAAAATTCCAATGAAGCTGAAGGAAAAATTCTATAAAACTGCCATAAGACTAGCTATGATGTACGGAATTGAATATTGGGAAGTTAAAAATAAAGAGGAACAACAAATGGGTGTGGCGGAAATGAGAATGCTTAGATGGATGAGTGGATTGACAAAAAAGGATAAAATTAGGAATGAGTATATTAGGAAAAGTCTAAGGGTGGCTCCAATTGTTGCCAAGATAAGAGAGCATAGGTTAAGATGGTTTGATCATGTTCAACGTAGAGAAGTTAATAACCCATTACGAAGAATTGACGATCTGCGGGTTCATGGAAGTAGTAGGAGAGGAAAACCAAAAAAGACCTGGGGAAAACGATTAGGCAGGACATAATGTCCATGCGGGTACGAACCAGGTTATTTTTATGAATAGTATATACTCTAGTTAATTTAAGTAGAGACCTGCATCGTGTAAATATGACGATATCAAGAAACTTATACCTAAACATGTAGCGCTCGAAACTCGAATCGAACGCCTTTAGTTACCAGACCCAGTCAACTTGTCGAAGGTGAGAAATGGCTAAAACTCTTGTTGTACTTTGTGTAAAACTAAAATATGTGCGCGTGTCTTCTCCTGAATTGTCTTCTCCTGAATTGAGACCAAAATAAAGCAAAGATTATTAATGAATGAAAATATCTTAGATAATATCTTTTGGAAATTCGAAAAAAAGTAAGTGAAGAACATTCATGGTTGTTATTAAATAAACTTCTATTAAAACATTGGTTTTAACCCAATTCTGATATTAAAATTAAGATAAAATTCTTCTGCACTTTGTGCTACTCCCTCTACTAATTAACTGTTACTGGTTTAGTGGAGTAAATTTTACCGCCTAGACATCGTAGTAAAAATCTAACGGTATCAAATCAGTAGACATAGCGGCCATTTAACGGAATTCTTTTCTTTCCTATTAACACGAAAATTTAAATAGTCCCAATCAAACCAATTTTAGGTTGTGAAAAAAGACTGATGCAATCAAAAATATTTTACACTTTTATCGAAATTTTAACTCTAGTAACCAATGACCAATACAAACGGTCATGCTTTGCTGTGGCTTGGTTATTATACGACTAATATTATGTTCAATTTATTTAAGAGAGTTAAGTAAATAACATGAAATCCGTGATGGCATCCCGGTATATCCAGAGAATTTCAAAATTATTTTAGTAATTTAGGGCTTCGTGTTCATTAACAATTCTGTCGGTTGTTTTAAAATATACCAGATCACATAGTAATAACTATTGAACCTGGAAGTTAATTTCGTTAACATCAACATTTTTCGCCGCCAAAATTGCGCGCTTACTGAGCCAATTATGATTCAAGTAATTATTCAGTTCAACCGGAAAGGCAGTTACAATTAATTCATGTTTGGTCTTAACAAAATTGCAGAAATTATCTAAAAGTTGTATTTGGATGCAGTTTTATGTACCGTTTTCAATATTTAGCAAATTTCGACATTTCGCCATAAAAACGATTGTGTTAAACGTGCATTGCAAAACAAACAGCAAAACTACGTGAAACAATAAATCAAAGGTTTAATGTTTATATTTTTGAAATTGTATAATAATTTAAAATATAAAATCAGAAAACAGCTCGATTTTCAGTAAATAATGAAATTAATTTAGAATCACTCCTTTGAATTTGATATGTTAATATTGAATAATATTGAATTTTATTCATTATTTAAGGAAATATTAAGTGAAATGATATCTCAGCTCTCCGCAATGCTTAGAACAACTGTAAGCTGCTTGCATTTGGCGTAACTCAACGACTGTAAAATATTATAAATTTTTTTATAAAATATACTTCTTTTAGGGATAATAGAGCTTACTTTTTTCATATACCTACGATAAAAATATCATATAGAAAATTTAATGGATTTAGTATAGATTAGATCAATTAAATGTTAACATTCTCAGTAGATTTCAAAATTTAAGTTTGTTTAAAATTATCTCATTAAATTTATAATTATTATTGAATTGAATTAATGCACAAACTTAAATTTTTAACTTAATTGCAGAAAACATGTTGAAAAATAGTTTTTCTTATTGTAAATAAACAATGTTGAACATTTTAAAATTATTGTTAATTCTAAACATATTTCGTTTATATCAATTTTCAGTGTCAAAAATAAAAATACTTTACTCTCTAGCAAAAATCTCATTTTTTAAAACACTTCATATATAATTAATAAAAGTTGATATCTGATGGTATATGGTATAGATCAGTATATACAACTATTGGAGAAAATTGATGGAGAATATCTAAACAACTTACTTAGTACGTTTCGCCGATGATATACTTATAATAGCTGAAGATCTAGGTATGGCAAGAGAGATGGTACAGGAACTCGTTGTGGCTACAGAAAATGTACGTTTAAATATAAATATCTCGAAAACAAAAATCATGACCAATTTGGTACCCAACCAGAACATCAGTATTGGTGGGAAAGAAATAGAACTCGTAGATAGATATAAATACCTGGGACATGAAATTATGATTGGCAGGGATAACCAGACTTATGAACTGAAGAGAAGAATCGGCCTTGGGTGGGCAGCATTTGGAAAACTGAGAGAAACTTTTAAAATTGAGCTGCCCACATGCCTAAAGAGAAAGGTATTTGATCAGTGCGTCCTCCCAGTCTTGACGTACGGAGCAGAAACACTTACCTTAACAAAAGCAGCGGCTACCAAACTGAGAGTCACGCAAAGAAGAATGGAGCGGTCCATGTTAGGAATAACTCTGCGAGACAGAATAACCAACGAAGACATCAGGAGAAGAACCGGAGTGACTGACATCATCGAGAAGATAGCCAGACTAAAATGGAGATGGGCAGGACACATAGCCAGAATGACAGATGGGCGATAGACAAAGAGGTTATTGGAATGGAGGCTAAGGGAAGACAAGAGAAGCGTCGGTCGACCACCTACAAGATGGACTGACGGTTTAAGAAAACTCAATAAAAACTGGATAAGAGCGGCGCAAGATAGACGGGGTTGGAAACATGAGGAAGAGGCCTATGTTCAGCAGTGGACTCTTGAGGCTGGATGATGATGATACAACTATTGGTATGGGAAAATAAAACTGCTTTTACTATTTTTATTACAATTTAATCATATTTTCAAATTTAAGCGAAAAAAAAGTAGATGTTAGTAGCCTGAAGTTGTCAACAGAAAGGGTGTTGCAATTTTAATATAGGTATTATGTTTGTGTTTTAATGTTTGTGCCGTCCAGAAACTTTTATTTTAATTAATTTTTACACCCTGCTACAACAGCTGAAGACACTTGCTAAATACACATAACAATATCACATAATAATTAACAATCAGAATGCCCACTTTCAGATGCCGCCTTTGAAGTTTGTCAGCACGCGATCGCCATATTTTCAACGGAAACTGTAATTTAAATATTTAGAGATTAATAATTTAGTACATTTGAAATAATTTAATCTATTCGTCAACGAAAAGTACGAATAAAATAGTGCATATTATGTCTATAGTTGCCGTAAATAAATTAAGCCTGGTTAATTTTTCTATGCACACAAGATAAAATGTTACCTAACAGCACTGGTTCCGACTAAAACAGGGCTGATTCCGTCTGCGCGAACGAGACGCGCGTACTTATTTTTTCAAGCAGAGTGGCATTCTGATTGTTTATTATTCTGTGACAATATACATATACTAAGGTTTTATATTTAGAAGTGCCAGTGAATGTATTACTTAATGGGAAGGTGATTCTTAGGAGTACCTTAGTTTATAGAGCTTTCCTGTATCTGATATCTTGTAGTATTTAATACATAAAAGAATAACATACTGGGGCCTGATGATAGAGCAAATATTGTAAGCCTTGAAACCGGTAGCCCAAAATTAACCAATTTTATTAAATTACGCAAGATTGTGAGTATTTACTCGTTTCCATGTACTAGTATTATGGACTAACATTGGCAACCTTTTCATCAAATAAAAAAAGAATGAAAACTATTTTCAATTCAAAACAAAAAGGATTTTTTAAAAATATCATTAAAAAAGTTTTGACTGTGATATATCAATCCCCCATTCTCATTCTAGCACAAGATCATATTATGAAAAATAATCTATTTTTGCTCCCCAATGTTACTTCCTAGTGTATATCTAGTCTTATAAAAAAAAAAACAATAAATTTCAAATTGCTAGATAAAAATTTTAATGAGAGGGTACAGCTGAATAAAATGTGTCTTAGAAATAGCTTACAGCTGTGACCCAATTTTTTTAGATATTTGACATGTCTCGGGGCAGATGTGGTATAAAAAATGATAAAAGTGATATGGTTGTTATTCTGTAATTGATATGTGGTAAATAACTGATAGTATAACATGATATAAATGTGAATAGATTGTTGATGTGAATACAAATGACATTATATTATTGAGTCGTTTTTACACTCTGCATGTTTTATTTTTCAAAAAAAAAAGTAGCAACAAATAACTGCACTACCACGAGTATATAATGAGAAAAAATAGTAAACTTAGCAAAACACACAGCGAGGGTCAGGAACGGTTGAAAAGTCACTATTAATATGTTTTGTGATTGAAACACCATCGTAACGCAACGAAGTGTATAAATATAATAATAACTATAGTATAATCACATTCAGAATATTACCTCAAAATATGGCTGTTTACCT